GCTGATACAAAATTTTACCAAAACCAAACAAAAGCTCACCCTCCAAATGGGATGATAAAACCTAAGTTTTGAGGACCCTACAAAAAGTTAATTAATCATAAAATACCAAATTATGCACTTCATTAACTCCCATTAACTGAACCTGTTATTTTTGGGCTCCAGGGGCTACATGCAGGTCAACAACAACCTTGCTATGGTCCCAAGTCATTCTGTTAGTTAACATCAGCAGTCTAGGATTAATTTCTTAACAACATCCAAGCCATGGCTCTGTCATTGGGTCCCCTAACTTTATGCTTATCCCCTTATCTCTGTTTCTGTATATAATTATTTGGGACATTAACTTATTTGGTTTACTATTAAAAAGTATATTTGTTCCCCCATTTTTCTCAGTTTACAAGCTGACTACGACACCAGCCAGCATAGGGAATTCCATTCAGGAGCTCTCCTGCAGGAGTGGAAGGGTGAATGGATTTTCCCTCTTCCCTTCCCTCTCTCTTTCCACCAACCATCATAGGGGAAGCCAACATATCCACTTGGCTGTATCCTTAAGTACTGGGAGATGCTTTGATCCTGCTAACCAAAAAATAAGATGACTGGTTCTTATGTAGCCCACTTGAAATTATTTACTATTCTTTACATATTGCCAAAACCCTAAGGCATTTTTCTGATAACACTAAAAAACCTAAGTTTAAACTAAGTAAAAATTCTTTTAAATAGTTCTAATACGGCTAGTGCCTTGTATCTAAATGTCACAAAATAATTTACAGAGTTAAAATGTATACATGTAAACAGCTATAGTTCTTTTTTCTAGGTTACATTCTATCTAACAAAGTCTTTCACATTTCTACTCTTTATGACAAAATGCTAAAAGTTCTACCATCTGTCAGATAAATGTTGGTTTATCTGACACTGGTTAAATAATATATACGATGCTCAATTGAACACTGAAACAGGGGCTATTTGAAATTACTGCCACTGCCTTCCCCTAACCATTGGAAAATTTAGGGTTTTTAATTTTCAGTATTGTACTGACAGAACTGACAACCACTAACCTATTACTTTACCTAACCAATATTCAAAGTTTAAGGTGTAATTAACCATAGTTTTGTCGTTATGATTCTGTTCCTTCAAGAACATTTACAGGCAAGCCTGTGAAAAATGACTCTGATAAGTGTTCTCTATCAATCAGGACAGACATTCCTAAGTATTGGGAGTCGTTTTGTATTTTCCTTGTCAAAACTTTATAACTGTTGTCTGCTGACACTTCACAATAGTTTAAAGGTGTCAGTACATCCCCTATGGGACAAGCAATTAGGTTGAATTAGGCCCAGTCTAGAGTCATTTTTAAATAAATCTCTTTGTTGCTGAATTTGGCCAAAAAGGTTGCATTGGCACTTTGATCTGTTTGATGTGTTGCTTCCCCTCCTCCATGGGACAAAATCTGACTTTTTGGGAGAAGCACTCCCACCCTTAGAGATAAAAGTACCAACTAGTAAAATCTTCAGAGACAACTGTTCAGAGAAAAATTTAAGTGGTCAGCATCCCCAAACTTCTCAGAGGAACAAGTGGCATTTAGCCACCCAAGATAATTCAAAAGGACTGCACAAATGAGGGGACAAAAGTAACTGAAGCCGAGAGATTTAAACAGGGGGCCTCTTGCGTGTGTGCTCTAATATTTAAGCCTTTTAGGCTTCTGGCAAAAGGCAAAGTCATGTCTTTGGCCAAGGCCTTCTGTTTAAACAAAGGCAACATAACTTTCAACGGTATCTAACTTCTGCTTAGGGATTCTGTGAGTCTTCTTTGTGTACAAAACTGACTCATTGATGTCTACTTTCTAACTGGACTAACAACTTCTCCCAGTACACCTGGCCCCTAATGTAGTCAACCCTTAACTGTCCCTCTATAGTGACAGTCCAAAATACAGGGCCATCTAAGAGTTAAAAATAGCTAAAGGTATAAACACCTATAGGCAAAGTAACCATGGGACTCTGTCACTTTCAAAATTACTTTATCCTTCCTGCCACAACTGGCAAGGCCCCTTTCTGATGCTCCTATCATTGTTAATGTTTGGGTCATGCCTTCTAAATCAGATTTCTCTCTTCCTAAATAAAAGCCTTTAGGACCCAAACCATGAGACAACAAGGCTATTAATCTCTACAAATGAATGAGATCTCCATGAGCAATCCAGATCTTCATGAGGAATCTTGACTATGCTGAACAGTAATTCAGACACCTTGTGTCCAAATGAGCCCCAAGGGAAAGAAATAATTTCTCCTTGTAGGTAGGGTCTGCTGCCCCTTTTCAGCTCGAAGCAGATACTGAAGATGGACACCCCCCCTCCCCTGCCCTTCAGCAACCCCTAAAAGGAATTTTTTGGAATATTGTTTCTCAGGAGGAACTTGAGGCAGGCTAGAAGTTAGAAAAGTTTGGGGCTCATGTAGGTTGCCTGGGGATGGCCAGACCACCCTCACCTGGCTGGGAACCACCCATGCCTCTTCCCACTCCTTCTTTATTGGGTGGGAATCTCCTGGGTCTGCCCTCCCCATGGGTTACTGTAGGTTTTAAAAGCACCTGAAAAAGAAAAGCATGCTCACTCTGCTGGCAGACTCCAACTGCGCCCACCATGCTCCCTTTGTATTTCCTTTCCTAACATTTAATAAACCCCATTTACACCCAGGCATTCTGCTGGATTCTTCCATGTGGGAACACAAGGACCAGGTCTTCTGAAAATACTGTTTGCCATTAACAAGACTAGATGTGGTCCTGGTTCTGATGAATTTTCCACATAAGTAAGCTACTCATTATTGGAGCCTCAACTTTCTCTTTTATGAAATGAAGTTATTGAGGTATATAATTGCTAAGATTCCTTTCCATATTATACTTCATAATATTACGTTTCATTTTTTAATGTGTAAAATGACAATGTGTCAGTAACTTTACATATACAATTTTAATGACTCCTCACAACATTCTGCAAGTTACTTATTGTGGTCTGCAGTTTACTGACAGTGGAATTGAAATTAAGAAAGATCCAAGTGACTATTCTAATGACGAATGAAGCTGACCATCAACCCTTTTTCTATGTGATTCCAAAGCTCACACTTTTCTACTGTACCATATTTAGGTGAGGTGATGTGGGAGAGATTAGGTATAAATTAGCCAAGCTGTGTGGCTCATACAGGACAGAGGTGGGATATAAACCAAGCAACCTGACTCTGGAGCCCCATGCTCCTTACCACTTGTCATCCAGGAACATCTAATTAATGAGTACCTTGAAATCTGTTGTGTTTGTTTTCTACTATCTCTATGACCTCTTTTCTGGCAGAATTTAATCCATGTTGTTTGCTGGATTGACTCAGCCTCCACTCTTGGCTACAGAGACCAAAGATTAGTCAGCAATGACCCAAGTAAGGCTAATTAATCATTATTTCTCCAGGAGAAATAATGTGTGGTCTCATTTTCTCTGAATTCTCAAGTTGCATTGACAATGTGGACTTGACATGCCAACAGCCATTTTGCCATAAGTATTGTTTTGTTTTTGGTTTTGTTTTTGTTTTTTTGAGAATGCAGTATCCAGGGCCAGGCCAGAGTACAGATATAGAATTTGAACTTCTAGATCCAGATGTGTTGGAATTAGATATCCTTTTGAATCCTGAGTTCCTTCCCTACCCTAAGTCAATTTGTGTTGGGATTATGCCATTTATAATAAGAGTCCTGAGTAACACAGAGGTGTTGAGGTATTCTAAGCAATGGACCTAAAATCCAGAATGGCTAGCTCCTATGAAATTGTGAATAATGATTTTTCTACCTCCAACTGAGAACTGGTAATTCCTGCTATATGATAGCATGACATCTGGTAATATTGTTGCCTTGTTGTGTCTTGAAAATGTACCAACTAAAGCTGGAATTTTTGGGTATTACTAGGAAAACATTGGGTTTGTTAGCTATGTTTGCAACCTTCTGTCAGGTCCTATAAGAAAGTTAAATGTGCTTGTTGCTATTGGGCTTTTAAAATGAGAGACAAAACAATGTCTTGGGCAAGAAGATTCTATGAGAGCTCTAGTTTTAATTACTCATTCATGGAGATGACTGGATGTAAGTTTACTGAAAGTCTAGGAAATTTTAATATGGCATATTATCAAGTCCATTAAACCTCTACCTCATCTAGAAAAGCCTACAATTGTCAAGGTGATTGCAAAGCCTCCAAACCCATATCTCCATGAAGTAGAATGCAAAAGGAGAATCTTCCTCAAAATTGCTGGCTTTGTGTGACCACAGAGAAGTTAACAGTAAAATACCTCCAGAGAACAGAAATGAAACCAGGACTTTGTCTACTGCAGAGTCCCTGTTTTCCCTGATCTGCAGTATCATTTATTTCATAGACAAGTGGCCGATTTTGTTTCTTAATCTCCCCTTCCTTCAGTTAAATTATAAAGCAGTTGCTACTCTGCAGCTGTGTAAATTAACAGTATGTCTACAGATTGAGAAAGTTCAAGGAAGAACTTAATTTGAACTAGAGGAATAAAGACTGTCCTTGGAGTTGGCTCCAAAATTCTATTTTTAAGTTATCTGCCATTGAAGGGGATGGAAGGCCAGTGTGTTTATAGTTGTACATATTATTTGCATTGTATTGGATTATATTGCATTATATTTTCATGACTGGATAAGTAGGAAGAAAGATGTATCTAGATGCTTAGATAAAATGTGGGCCACAGGAAAGTGACTACTTGTTGGTTTGAAGAAAAGACCCCAAACTCTAGTTGTTAAAATATAGTATAATAGAAACTGCATTGAATGAAGAATCAAGGAACTTGAGATCCAAGCTTGCATCTGCTAACATAATCACTTGGGCATTTGTCAGGCAAGGTCAGTTCCCTGTAATCTAGGGGAACCAACGTGAAACAATCTGTGCTGCTAAGTAGTGAACAAGCTTCCTGCACATGACCTTTGGCTTGCAGTTACTGGAGTGCAGAGACCAGACCTTAAGCATCTGAACTCACCTTAAAGGCCATGGGTATTTCAACAATGTAAAGGTCCACGTAATCCAGCTTGAGGATCTTCAGAGTCCTCTCCAGGCATGGGCGGACCATGTCTGGGACGTGATGTGTAGCCCACAGCTGAAAGAATCAGGGAACAGTTAACTAATGCCCACCCATTTTTCCACGAATTCAGCCCATTACTCTTTGCATAGCACTGACATACATTTCATCCACTCCTTTCATTTCAGAAAAATATGTTTCTGTGCAGTATTGTCTGAGCATCAGAAGAGTTGGAGGAACTCTTGACATGAGAGTATGAACACGGTGACCACAGAGAACCTAATTCCACCATAGTCTTCCCTTGCCCTGCGCTGTTTTGCTAACTGATCCTTAGGACTTCCACTTTTTTTCATTGTGTAGTTAGAGAACACAGATCTAGCTACATATCCTGATGTAGTCTGGGATTTTATTTTCAAGCCTACTTCAAATGGGCATGGAAAATAGCTTCAGACATGGCTTCTGGGAGCCTTCGCCTTGGGATACTTAGTGTGAAACCTGGAGAAATTTTAAAACTTTGCATAGATTTAGATTCTTCTTCAAAGCTGTTCTCAGATCCCACAGCCATTCTGCCAATTCCTAGGAGAAACTTAGTCAATCTTTATATGTTACATGCTGAAAATTAAGGCTTGTTTGGTCAAACTCCTCCGTTGGACAGTGATTTTATTCTTGCACAGAGAATACTTCATGTGGAGATAGTAGTGAGAAATGTGCTTTAGTTATCACTGTGGGCTCCTTTTGGGGTTTTGCTGCCACCACATCCATGGGAAAATTCTGTTTTAATGTACTTTTTCCATCAAACACATATAATACTAACTTTGTGCCAGATACTATTTAAGTGATTTTTAAATATTAACTCTTAACTTTATGAAACGGTCCATGTCATTATTTCTGTTTTATATACAGGCAGACTAAGGTCCAGAAATGCTAATTAACTCACAGCTGGTTGTGATAGCCCTGGGACACACAGCTAGTGTTTATTTGTATTATTATATTGTGCTATTCTGAACCAGGCAATCTAGCTGCAGTCTGTCCCCACCACTCCACACTGCCTCTCGGGTACTGGCTAAGCTGCAATGAAAACCCGTCTTCCTGCAGTAATAGCAACTTCCCATTACATGGACTCAGTTACACACATCCTTTCTATTTGTTGTTTCTTTATTTTTTCTATTTATTATTTTTTAGGAGGTAGTGGAGGTTTGAACTCAGGGCTTCACACTTGCTAGGCAGGTGCTCTGCCACGTGAGCTACATTTCCAGCCCTTTTTTGCTCTGGCTATTTTGGAGATAAGGTCTCACTTTTTGCCCAGGCTGGCCTGGAACCATGGTGCCCCCAATCTCAGCCTCCTGAGTAGCTGGGATTATAGGTGTGAGCCACCAGCACGGAGCCTTGTTTCTTTACTCAATGATCATCTTTGGCTTAGGTGTGCTTTGTTACATTTAGCACAGTGCTGGTGCTGTACATGGTCACATGCAACTTGAAGGATTTTGAAGGGTAATTTGGCTACCACTCCCCCACCCCCTGCCATGCTACAGATTAAACCCAGAACCTTATCCATGCTAGGCATGAGCTCTACCACCGGGCTTTAACCCCAGGTAACTTCTTTTTTTTTTTGTGGTGGTACTGGGTTTTGAGCTCTGGGCTATGAACTTGTGAGGCAGGCTCTCTACCGCTTGAGCCACATCTCCAGCCCTGCCTCCCCCAGACCCCACGCACTTCTTATGTGCTAACTTTAGCACCTACGTAACGACAAATGACCTGAGAAGTTGTTAAGCTGAAGGTTTATGTCTGCACCTGCCCCCAAGTCCCACACAGATAGCTTTTGGGTTTGTGATCTTATGAACTTGTTTGATTTATGCTTGCTTTATTACACAAAATCAATTGGTGCCAAAACTGGACCCCATTTCTTAGTTTATTAAAATTACTCAAGTACTTCTTTTTAACTCTCTTTTCCTCCTAAAATGTTACTCTGCTTACTATTCCTTCTTCCAAATTACTAAGTAAACCAATAAAATGAAAATTTGATTTTACATGATTTGGTGTTATCTTACATTTACCTTAGAAATGACTGGGAGCAGTGACTCAGGCCTATAATCCCAGCTACTCAGGAAGCAGAGATAGAGAGGATCACAGGTTGAGGATCATAGTTTGAGAGCAGCCCAGCAAAAAGTTAGTGAAATTCCCTCTCAGTCTGTAAGTCAGGCCTGGTGGTATGTGCCTGTGATCCCACCTGTGTGGGAGATCAAAGGACTATGGTCTAAGGTCAGCCTGAGGCAAAAACATGAGATCTTATGTGGAAAATAACTAAAGTAAGATAGGGCTGGGGCATGGCTCAAGTGGCAGAATGACACCTAAAAAGCATGAGGTCCTGAGTTCAAATCACAGAATTACCAGAAAAAAAGAAAATCCAGAATGTTTTTATTAAATACAGCATACAGTTGTCCCTCAGTGTCTATGGGAATTGATTCCAAGAACCGCCCCCCCATGAATGCTAAAATCTGAGGATGCTGAAATCCCTTATATAAATAGCATAGTATTTGCACAGACCCTATCCACATCATCTTCCATACTTTAAATCATCTCTAGACTGGGGTTTGAACTCAGGGCTTCATACTTGCAAAGCAGGCTCTCTACTGCTTGAGCCACTCCACTCCATTTTTGCTCTGCTTGTTTTGGGGTCTCACAAACTATTTGCTCAGGGTGGCCTCAGACTGTGATCCTTTGGCCTCAGCCTCCTAAGTAGCTAGGATTACAGGTGTGAGCCACCAGCATCTTGCTGATAACTTATAGTATCTAATACAATGTAAGTACTATTTAATTTGTTGCTATGCTATATTGTTTAGGGAATAATAACAAGAAAAAAGTCTGTACATGTTCAGATGTAATTTTTTTCTGAGTATTTCCTGTTCACGGTTGGTTGAATCCACAAATCAGAACCCATGGATATGGAAGGCCAATGGTACTCATAAGACTGAAATTACACACACACATGGATACACAAACATACACACACATGCACATATGCACATGTGTATACACATATACATGAATACACACAAACATACATACACAGATATGGAAGATGAATAATTAAATGAACACCTGACAACTCCCCACAAGCCCTGAAAGTAAAGAAATAGAATCTTATCTGTTCAACGAGCCCACTGTGGGCTGTCACCTCATGCACAGGATACAGCTATCCTTGTGCTTATCTTTGTCTTGCTTGGTTTTGTAGTTTTCACACCTATCTATAAATAATAATGTAAATCTCGCCTGTTTTGATCTCTGTATAAATGGAACCCTGCTGAGAACTTGCTTCTTTCTCTCACTATCATGCTGTCAAAGCCGCCCCACTGATGCTTTTAACTGTACTTCGTTCATCATTGCTTATGTGCTGTGCTTGAATATATCACAATTCCTGTGTCCTTTCTATTGCTGGTGGCCTGAGGGTCATTTCTAGTTTTGAGCTATCATGATCAGTGGTGCTCTGGACAGCTGTACAAATGATATTCATCACAGAAGATGATGAATTGTATCAAGGCAGGTGTTGTTAGGTGTTTACATTTTCAGCCTTGTGGGGCTGATCCTTGCAAACCTTCTACTAAGAGAAAGAAAGTACACACAAAAGACCACACATTGTCTGATTACATGAAATAGAACAAAATGTCCAAAATAGGTAAAATACAGAGACAGAGGGTAGGTCATTGGTACCCAGTGATGGGCAAGAAGGATGAAAGGAAAATCACTGCTAATGGGCAAGGGGTTCTGGAATTAGTTAGTGCTGATGACTGCATAACTAAAAACCTGATTTAAAGTGATAGGTGAATTATACCTCAACTTAAAAAGCAGCAGTACACAGATAAATAAGCACATATGAGAGAAAAAGAAGGTTGCTCTTTTAATGAGAGCTTGGCAAATGCTTATATAATATGAACTGCCTTAGCCTTTCCCACCTCAACCCAATTTTTCCACTTCGTGAGTGTGGCTCTGTTTGAAATCCATGCCCATGTATGAAAGAAGAATTTTGCCCTAAGCTTTAGTCACCGTGTTCTTAGCGAGGGTAAGAACCTGGCAGTTGAGAAGGAAGAGGCAAAGGTCTTACCTTTCCGCAGTAGAAAATATCCTCCCTCTTCACCTTTCCTTCTGCTATCTTCTCTCTGATGGCCTCGCCTACTTCGTGCTCATTTTTGTAGATGTAGGCCCCATCGAAGTGTCGGTACCCTGTATCTATGGCAACCTTTACTGCTTCTGCACAGAGCCCCTTAGGACTCTGAAGTGACAGGGAGGAAGGGGTTGGGGAGAAGACAAATAGGTCTTTGGTTTAATCATTGATCAGGACATTTTTCACTTACATTGTTTGGTAGCTAACATGACATTTCCTAGTTCCATGAAAGACCAAAGCATCAGAAGAAACTCCTTTGCCAGGATCCTCCATCCACTCCAGGTTTGCCTTCAGCTTTGTAGCTTTAGAAATTGTGATTTGATCACTATTACCATGGACAGGCTTCAGAGCCAACTCTGTGCCTTACCATTATAACCTTAGGGCAATGTATTTAAGCTCTCTGTGTCTTAGTTTTCTTCTCTGTTATTGGGGTTAACTGGTTTTGATTTGAAATGTGAGTATTACATTAGAAAATGCATGCAATATCAAACACTTAAAAAGAGTTTTTGACCCACTTAGTGTTCAGAAAACTATCAGCTATTGTCATGCAATCCATTTACATCTCCATGCACACGTACACATACATCACCTCTCACAAACTCTGTCAGTAGTTGGACAAGCATTAGCTGAATATGCGTTACATACTAGACACTATCCTGGGACTCTAGAGCTGAACAAGATATGGTCTCTTTCCTAATGGACTTCACACAGACAGGAAAATGTAGACAGTGATTACAATAGAGTCTGATAAGTTCTACCATAGAGTCCAGCAAAAGGGCCTAAGTGAGCATGGAGAGGCGTAGGCGTGGTGGTTGGGCAATGGGTCTCTAGGCAGATGCTCTACCACTTGAGCTACTCCACCGACCCCTGCCACTGGGTCTCTAAGAAGAGATGTCTTTTGATCTGAGTCTTAAAAGCTTAGTAGAAGTTAGACAAATGAATCCATCCAAAGAAAGTGTGATCCAGGCAGAAGGCAGTATGTTCAAAGGCATGAGTACGGGAGAATTGGGAGCTTAGATAATGTTTTATGCATAGAGAGAGGTGGGAGAATGGTGGTTGATACAGCTGGACTGACAAGTCAGCTAAATCGTAAAGGTTCTGAGTACAGGGGAAAAAACCATTTCAGTGCCCTCCTATATTTGATAAAGAGTCATTGAAATAATTAAACAGAGGTGTGACACAATCAAATTTCGGTTTGAGAAAGATCTTGATGGTCTTGATCTGGATGATTAATTGGAAGGGAACAAAACTGGAAGGACAGCTCAAAGATAAACTGGAGCCTAAACTAGGTGGTGACAATGGAGAACAGAAGAGGGTGTGAACTAAGGAGCTGTTTCAGAGAGAAAATCAACAAGGACTCAGCCGTCATTTGGATATAATGTGGAGAAGGGGAAAGGTGAGGAAGAGGGCATATTTTCTGATTTTTGGAAGGGGTGGCTGGGCCACTTGATAGATGTATTCTTTGGGGAGGGCGAGGTAGTGAGTGTGGTTCTGTCTTGTTGAGTTGGAGGCACTGAGCAGTACAAACATGGATGTACATCAGAATTACTCTGGCTCTACCCCTAGAAATCCTGATTGAGTTAGATGAGGGGTGAGGCCCAAGAATCTGTATCTTAAAAAAATGTTTGTAGGTGGTTCTGATGTAGCCATTTCATAGCTGTGTGAGAGAGACAGAACACAGAAGACAATAAATATGGATGTGGAAGTCTCTGAATACATGTGGTTGGAGCCAAGCTTATGATTGAGGTCCTTTGCATTACCAAAACCTAGTGGGTTGTGGGGTTGTGACGCAAGTAACTTCTCTTGGTTGATTACTTCTGTTCCTCTGCCTTCCATTGTCTATGCTGCCACCAGTGTTATCTTTCAAAAACAGAGATGCAGTAATATTATATTTATTATTCCTCTGCTCCTAAATGTATGACAATTTCTCAGTTCTGTGCAGTGAAGTTCCTATGCTTTTTTACACAGTATCCAAGGTCCTCAGTCATCCAGTCATGACTTACATTTTCAAGTCCAGCTGCCATCATCCCTACGCTTAGCTCCATGTTGAATCACTGTAGCCTTGGCTTTCTCTGCACATCTCCTACATCCTGATCTCTGAGACTTCTTCTTCATAGAATGTCCTGCCTCTGTGCTGCTTCTCTGCCTACTAATTCACACTCGGCTTGCAGAGGTCCTTCACACATGATAACATTCTACATATACATTATGTTTGCATTTTAAATGTCCTCCAAAGGCCATATTCTAAATTCTTGGTCATCAGCCTGTGGTGCTGTTGGGGAGCTGTTGATCTTTTAGGAGGTGGGGCTTAGTTGCAAGAACTTAGATCATTGAGGGGCATGCCCTTAAAAGGGACTTGGGAACCCTGTCTCTGCTTTCCAGCCACCATGAGGTGAGCAGTTTTGTGCCACCACAAGTTCCCTGCCTTGATATTTGGCCTCACCACAAAGCAATGGAGCCAATTGATCATGGACTGAGCCCTCTGAAACCCTGAGCCAAAGTATATTTTTCCTCCTGATTATCTTAGGTATTTTATCACAGTAATGAAAACTGACTAATGCAACATACCACTGTTTATTCTAGTAATCATTAAATGTTGAAGCGCAATAAAGGAATGATTTTTCTAAGTAGAAACTTTACTGTGTTTTAAAAGAAGCTCATTTCAATTTTCATGGTCGAATTTAATTCTCTTTTATGTGTTTTCAGAGAGATACAGGGTCTCCATTTGTAGCTCAGGCTGGTATTGAACTCACTTTGTATCCCCAGCTAGCCTCAAATTCACAGTCTTCCTGCCACTGCCTCCCAAGTGCTGGGATTGAGTACAACAGTGCATCATCATGCCTGTCTGATTTTATAATTGTTAAGGAGTCTGTATCCTCTATTAGGTTTTTAATGTCATGTTCTCTTCATATTTGAAGCTTCTGTAGACTGGTGCTTAGTTGATGGCAGATATTCACTAAATGTTTGTTAAACTGAAATAAAAATTCTTAAATATAAACTTAAAATACTCCACAAGCCCCAAACTCACAATTTCATGTGCCTCAGTTCACTCTAGAAATTTGCATTTAGTTGACTTTCAGTAAAGAAAGCAAAAAAATTTCATTCTCTATTTGAAACTAATTTTTAACCACAACTGATACACATTAATCTTTGGCTCAATACTCATTCAGGCAAACAGTAGTACTTGAAGTTGCATTTATTACTACAAAAGTAAATCAACAAGATCCACTCAAAACAAATTACATTTATGCTTTAGGAAAGGATTGGAAAGAGAACACACATGCATACACACAGAGTGAGAGACAGACAGACAGACTTACAGGTACAGGGTCTGAGTAGGTTCCAAGTCCGATAATGGGAACACTGTGTCCGTCGTTCAGAGGTATGCGGTGACTTGTTGCACTGAGGGACATCTTGCAGACAGTCTGAAGTTTCAGTGTTCTAGTTGTGATTCTGAACACCGAAGAGTCTGTTTGAAAAAGTGTCCTAGGGCATTAAAGAAAGGTGGGATGGGGGAGGAGCAGAGGGGAGGAGGAGCAGAGGGAGGTAAGAGAGATGAACAAATCTGTTTCTCAATGTTTTTTTTTCAAGTTGTCCTGGAATCCTAAGCATGGTTGTCCTTTGAACTTCATCAGAGGGATAGAGATAACACAGTCTATTGATAGCGTTTGCTTAGTTTCTGAAAAAAAAAAAAAACACAAAAGGAGAGTAGTCTGTCTGGCCTCCAACATGGCTGGATCTAGGATGGTTTCGTAGGCAAATAATAAACCTATCTTAAATTTTCTTAAAGTACAAAGAAATGTGATATTTCTGAAAACTCCAGCAGAGAGAGAGAGAGATAGGGAGGAGGTACTCAGCTTTTCTCTGGTCTCTTCTTATACGGAAACTAAGCTCATTGTGAGGATGGAACCCTCTTGACCTCATTTAACCTAATTATCTCCCCAAAGCACCATCTCCAAATATAGTAACCCCTCATTGTCTATGGGGATATATTCCAAGGTCTCCAGTAGATACCTGTTTTTCCTATACATACAAACATGTGTGCATACATATATACATGATATACCTTCATCTTTTCACTTGAAGGAAGCCCTTTACAACTTCTCTTTGACATATCTGAATTACCAGCATTACAGATCTTGTGCTTTTGGACCATAATTAAGCAAAATAAGAATTATTTGAAGCCAGACGTTCTGGTGCATGTCTCCAGCTACTCAGGAGACAGAGGTGGGAGGATCACGAGTTGGAGGCCAGTCCAGTTAGTGAGACTTTATCTCAAGAAAAAAAAAGCAAAAACCAAAAAACAAAGTGGATAGGGATGTAGCTCAAATGGTAGAATTCTTGGGGATTCAATCCTGAGTACTGCCAAAAAAAACCCCAGAAAAATAACAAAGACTCATGTGAACACAGCACTGTGATATCACAACAGTCAGACTGATAACTAGGCTATGTAGTGACTAATAGGTATGTGTTATATCAGCTTTTATGTAAAGATTTACCATGACTCACAGTTTCAGTGAGTTTTTGGTTAAGTGTAAGAGGTACTTAAAAGCTGCCTTGGCTGGGAAACACTGGCTCCTTATCTGGGACCAGGAATTAACTGAAGGCAGGATTAAAGTTGAGACTCCCCAGCTTCCAGTATACATCTGTGTCCTTTGCTCTGTGCTATTCTCTTCACAGTCACTTTGCAGCCATCTTGGAACCCAGGAAGGATTGGACCATCTGCCAGGTGTCCATGACTTTTATTGTAACAAGGCCTCACCTGACCAGTCCTGAGACAAACAGCTGCCAGACCACCTGTAACTGCCACTTGCCACCAATGACCATGGGAACACAGCTATGTATGACTAGGACTGTGCATACATATCACTGCCTGTCCCCAATTCTTCCTATTTAAGGCAAAAATCTAGGAAAGATGGCTGAAGTTGGGCTGAAGTGCCATCTTCCAGTGCTACCCTTTGCCTATGTTGTGTGATAAAATTCCTTTCTCTGCCCTTTCCCATTATCTGCCTTTTGTGTTTGGTGTGTTAGGGTGAGATGCCAGACCTAAGAAACCCAAAAGTTTGGGCCTGGGACTTAAAACATCATGTAACCCAAGGTCACTTGGTTCTGTTGCTTTGGGCCTGTGCCAGCATAATACATCACAGTGGGGACACATGGTATCCTGTTCACCTGAAAATGGCTGGGAAGCAAAGAGAGAGACACGCTCTTAATGACCTAACTTCCTCCTACTGGGCCCCAACTCTTAAAGAGTCCACCACCTCCCAATAACACCAAACTGAGGCCCAAGACTTTAATACATGGGCCTTTGGGGGACATTTGAACCCAGACTAGAACATTTTGCTCCTGGGCTCCAAAGGCTTATGTCCATCTCACAGTACAAATGCATTTTCCTTCTCCAAGAGTCTCCAAATTGTTAACAGTTCCAGCATTGCTTACTTGCTCAAAAGTCCAAGTACAAAATCTGAGACTTAAGGCAAACTCAGCTGTAAAATCCAGAAAAACAAAAAACAAACAAAAACAAAAATTGAGATACATACTTCCAAGATGCAAAGGCACAATGTGAATATTCCTATTCCAAAAGGGAAGAATAAGAAAGCAATAAGGAAGTACCATACCAAAGCAAGACTCAAACCCAACAGGATAAACTTTCAGTCCTATAATGGCCTCCTGTCTGGCACATGGTGGCATGATGTGAGATCCAAAGGCTTGGATAGCCCTGCCTCTGTGGGTTTGCTGGTTACAATCCACATGCCACAAGTTTTCTTGACAAACAGTCCATGTTCCTAGCATCTCTTCCAGGGGTCTCCATGACAGCTTTAACTTCACTCTCACAGCTTCATGCGTGATCCTTTCAGAGACTTCTTTTTTTCTTTTATTTATTTATCAGTATATTATAGTTCAAATGGGAATACGCTGTGACAAAAAGGTTTACAATATATCATAGCTAGGTTCATCTCCTCCATCTTTCTCCTTCATCTCCTTCCCCCTTTCCCACAATATTTTCAACAGGTCTCATTGTTCCACCTTTATACATGAATACACAGTACTCCCATTATCATGCACCCTTTCCTTATGCTGTCCCCCTTCCATTGGTACCAACTCCCCAAACAAGACTTGTTTTACCTTCCTGTCCTTCGTTTTTTTAAAAAGACATCTTTGTATGTTTATGATGGTTATACAAGGAGTTTCACTGTGACATTTCCATATATGTATATATATATATATATATATATGTATGCACATATATATATGTATTATACCCCGAATTTGTTAATGCCCTCCATTATTCGCCTATCTACTTTATTTTTCTTCTTTGTTGACTTCAAAAGGTTTGAATGTTCCATATTCATACTTTTAAAGAAAGTACATCAACTATATTCACCTTCTTTACTTTCTTCATTAACCCTCCCTCTTCGCATAGTACCACCCCATAGTATAATCTGTTTTACATTCTTGCCCTTCATTGTTTAGGCTTCTGTTCAATGTTCAGCGGGATTTTTGCCTTGGTATTTTACCTGTAAATGTATTGTGCTTAAGTCAGTGTAATCCCCATACACTACTTCCTCACTGTTTCCCCCCATCCTGAGTGTTTGCAGTGTGTTCTGTTGTGTAGTTCATCATTGTTGACTATCTTTCTTTCCTTCTTTTCCTCCTCCCTTGGTTTCCTCTACCAGTCCCACTTTTGGATGCATGTTTTGTATGTAATTATATGTGTATATGATATTGCTTGCATTTGTATTGGGCCTGTATTCCACATATGAAAGAGAACGTGCAGCCTCTGGTTTTCTAACCTTGGCTAACTTCACTTAAGATAATATTCTCCAGTTCCATCCATTTACTTGTAAATGACAAAAAATTTTCATTCTTCTTTTTGGCTGAATAAAATTCTACTGTACATAAATACCACACTTTCTTAATCCATTCTTCAGTTGTTGGGTGTCTTGGCTACTTGGCTATTGTGAATAATGCTGCAGTAAACATGGGAGTGCAGGTGTCTTTGTTGTAACCTGACTTACATTCCTTCAGGTATACGCCTAGAAGTGGAATTATTAGATCATATGGCAGTTCTATTTTTAGCTTTTTGAGGAGCCTCCATACTGTTTTCCATAGTGGTGTACTTATTTACATTCCCACCAGCAGTGCATGAGGGTTCCTTTATCCTCACATCCTCACCAACATTTGTTGTTGTTTGAGTTCTTGATGGTAGCCATTGCAACAGGAGTGAGATGGGATCTTGATTTGCATTTCCTTTGTTTCCAGGTTTGTTAAGCATTTGTTCATGTGGGGTTATTTTGGGCCATTTGTGCTGGGTTTTTTTTTTTTTTTTTTGAGGAAGTTCTGTTCGGTTCAGTTGCCCATATCTTTGTTGGGTCATTGATTTTTGGGAGAATAGTTTTTTGAGCTCCCTATTCATTCTGGTTATTAGACTCTTGTCATATGTATTGATGGCAAAGATTTTCTCCCTTTCTGTGGGCTGCCTCTTCAATCTGTTGACCATTTCTTTTGCTGTGCAGAAGCTATTTAGTTTCATGAAGTCCCATTTGTCAATCTTTTCTTAGTTGCTGAGCCATTGGAATTTTTTTTTTTTTTTTTTTTTTTTGCCTATGCCTGTATGTTCCAGTGTATTCCCAACTCTTTTCTGCACTAGTTTCAAAGTTTCAGGTCTTATATTAAGGTCTTTAATCCATGTTGAGTTGATATTTGTACAGGGTGAAAGATTTGGATCTAGTTTCAGTTTTCTGCAGACAGATATCCAGTTTTCCCAGCAATGTTTGTTTAAGAGACTGTCTTTTCTCCATTATATGTTTTGGGCACCTTTGTCAAAAATCAGATGAGTGTAGCTGCATGGACTAATATCTGGGTCTTCTATTCACTTCCATTGGTCTTCACGTCTGTTCTTGTGCCAGTACCATGCTATTTTTTTTTATTGCTATGGCTCTGTAAAACACTTTTATTTAGGTAATATAGATTTATTTGGTGATCTCTATTTTCTTGGTTCAATTTTGCTTGGTCAAATGTGTCTAGAAATTTATCAATTTCTTCTAGATTGTCCAATTTATTTGAATACAGGCTTTTGAAGTGTTCCTAAATGATTGCCAATCAACATCTTTTTTTTTTAAAGAGGGAATACAAGTTTTTTCAAACATTTACAAAATAATCAATTGATTACATAAAAATGTAGTGAAATTAGTCAAAAACAATGTCAAATAATTTGTTTTTAAACTGGCAATGCAATATATAAAGAAGTAGCCTTAACTAAATGGGAGAATCACCTAAAAGAACCAAGTAGTGTTTTTGAAGAAATAATACATGAGTATACTCATATGGAGATTCAGTCTCAAAATCTTGCTTTAATTTCCTGTTTCTCATATCTGATGGAGTTCTTGTATTATACTGCTTGGTACTGGTA